GGGGGTGAAAAGGGACCTTTCGGCGAGGTAATATATTCGAGGGGGATAGGAATGACTGAAGGCCACGGGGTCTGGAGGAATATTATTAAATAAACAATCAACCAGAAAATTTTTTAAAATTTGAATCCCGGAAATGCCATCTACTGCATTCTGAGCATTTAAATTTCTCTAAAATTTTTGCTCATTATACTTGTATTTGAAATAAAAGAAGGAAAAAATGCACAACAAATTAAAAAATTATTAACAATAATTTATCATTACTTAGTGGTAGAAAACCGTAACAATTTGTTAAACAAGGACAAAGGATAAAGCCCCCAATTCCTGTATTCAATAGATTAATATTTATAACCCATATGTAGATTGCAACATGTGCCCAATGTCTCCCATCCCAGGGCTTTTGGGGTGAAGACCCTGGGTATGTAGGTGAGCACTCTGTTAATTGTTATTAAACCTTCGTTGATGTTGTTTAATCTAATTAGCTTGCAAACTATTTTTCCCCTTCTCTATGTGTGCAAAAAATTTATTTTCACTTTTTTGTCTTTGCAAACAATTTTTTTAAGAATTTTCCATCCCCACCTCAAAAAAAATAATGGTCAGTGCCTAAACGCGGCGCTAATGACGAGAAAAGATTAAAATTCTATCTACTTGTTTACACATTCAAGAAGGCGAACTATTTTGGATGGGAGGCTATGACCTACAGCCGGGAGTTCATTAAAAACGATTTTAATCTGACTAGGAAATGGATTTCATCCGGCGGGGAGTCAAAAGAATTTATTCATCGCCATTTTGTAATGAAATGACGGGGGAAATCAAAACAACGGTTAATTGTGGTGAAAGATAACCAAGAGAGCTATCTTACAAATGGGCTAATGTGCAAATGTTGAAAGGCTATGGCAAACAGGGTTTTCGTTTGGATGCTAGGTTGCCTACTACGCTAACGATTGTAAATCGATTATTAATGGCTGTGCCACACTATGTCGCTACGTACTACGACCAGTGCCAATTTCGTGCGATGTGTGCTCTAGTATTCTTCGCATTTTTACGCGTGGGTGAGATCACCGCAACATCACTGCCGGGCAATTGCCCTATACAGTTAAACCAGATCACCAAACTCTCAAGAGATGGTGAAGTGATTGGTTACAAATTAATATTTGCTGATTACAAGCATAACTACAATTAGCGACCATTTACTATGGTCATCAACCGGCAAACAAACGCTTGCCCTGTACAATTATTATCAACATATTTAAATCATCGTGGCTGTAGTCCGGGTCCGGTATTTATGACAGTGGAGGGCGTCGCGGTGCCGAGAAAAGTTTTCACCGCAAACCTTGTTGCTTGCCTCAATTACTGTGACCTAAGTCCGTCGCATTACAAATCACATTCGTTTCGAATCGGTGCAGCATCTTTCGCTGCTGAGAATGGTTTGTCCGATGCACAGATTCGTCTTCTAGGTCGGTGGAGAACGAATGCATTTGAAAAATATATTCGAGTTACATCTCTTTTAACGACTGCCTCTTTATCTGAGCAACACAATCCTTCCAAACCGGGCGACAATGTCGCGGGATGTTGTCGCTTGGTCCGTTGCATCGTATATTTGGTGGTCTGGAGGGCCTGTCTAGCAGGGGCGGACATCTCGTCTTGATCACCAGATATATTAATGTTCATTAGTAATTATTCACTTAAACTGTTATTTCTGACTATTTTATTCCTTTCTGTGTGTTAATTATAAGTAATAGCATGCCTTGAGGGAGATTAGTGATTAAATGGCCCCGTAACCCGAGGCAGGTTTGCGGAATTCCCGACGGCGAAGCCCGAGGGAATTCCGCAAACCTGCCGAGGGTAAGGGGTCATTTAATCACTAATCTCCCGAAAAGCCATGCTATTAGTTTGTAATAGCATAG